AATAGGGAACCTTAAGAACTACTAGAACTTATTATAGCTATTCTACTAGATGGAAATAAGAAGTTAGATAAAACTAGAAGACCTAAATCTATAAGAAATTCAGGAGATTAGTCGGCTATATAAGCCTCTAGCTTAGAACGCTCTTATGCTTCTAGTTCATTAAGGCTCTTAACGCCTCTAGCCACTATCTCTATAGCCTTTTAATAAAGGAATTTCTCCTAACGACGAACTCTCTAAAGACGAGCCATAGTGCACTCTAAATCTTCCTTAGCGGAGGCACACTCCTTATTAAGACGATCCTTCTCCTAAAGGACTTATACGTAAGCATTAGAAGAGGTACCACCTAGGTTATAGTTAGAATAACCCCGTAGGGTGCACTCACTATAGTGATCCTTTCCTTCAGCAATAATACACTCGCGACCTTTTAATTCGGATGAGACTGTTATTTAGAAATACAGTTAGAAGGCATACTAAGGGACGAAGGATGTAAGAAGGAAAACTCATAGAGGGGACCTCTAAAGCCTTAAGGATAAGACTTAAGGAGGAGGGGAATAATGTAATAAACGAATAGGAAGATAGAAGGAGCGGCCCATTATACAGCCGTAGGGAAGCCTGTGACACCTAAGGGAGCTATAAGGCTCCCTAGGGTACGAAGGTATAAGGATATAAGATCACGTGATTAGATTAGGAGGGATTAAACTAATCTAAGTGGACTCATTAGATAGGCTTAGTCTAATCCAGCCTAAGTAAGGATTAAATAGGATTAGTATAACCTCTAACTTAGAACGCTCTTACGCTTCTAGTTCGTTAAGGCTCTTAACGCCTCTAGCCACTATCTCTATAGCCTTTTAATGAAGGAATTTCTCCTAATAACGAACTCTCTAAAGACGAGCTATAGCGCGCTCTAAATCTTCCTTAGCGGAGGCACGCTCCTTATTAAGACGATCCTTCTCCTAAAGGACTCGTGCGTAAGCATCAGAAGAGGTACCACCTAGGTTATAGTTAGAATAACCCTATAGGGTGCACTCACTATAGTGATCCTTTCCTTTAGTAATAATACACTTATGACTAAGCTAATAGTAAGAATTATAAGACAGTATAATAAAACTAAAGGTAGTAATAAATTTAGAAAGACGCTTATAATCGACCTTTTAATTTAGATAAGACTACTATTTAGAAATACAGTTAGAAGGCATACTAAGGAACGAAGGATGTAAGAAGGAAAACTCATAGAGAGGACCTCTAAAGCCTTAAGGATAAGACTTAAGGAGGAGGGGAATAATATAATAAACGAATAGGAAGATAGAAGGAGCGGCCCGTTATACAGCCGTAGGGAAGCCTATAACACCTAAGGGAGCTGTGAGGCTCCCTAGGGTACGAAGGTATAAGGACACGAGATCATATGATTAGATTAGGAGGGATTAAACTAATCTAAGTGGACTCGTTAGACGGGCTCAGTCTAATCCAGCCTAAGTGAGGATTAGATAGGATTAGTATAATCTAAGAGTATAGTAGGGGATAGAGGGATATATAAGAAAGGGGATTTCTTAGATAGATAGCTAGATCTCTACTAATTAATCTAAGTAATAGTTCTACTATTAGGAGTAATCTCCTAAACGTGACTTAAGCTACGATACTACTCATCTGCACCTGTGGTGCATTTAACCTGACTCACTTCCTAAGAAACAGATTTACTATGGATTAGAGAAGAGCCACTGTTATATGTAGGAGCACCTATATAATAGTAAGCTACTACTAAGCTCTTTATAAGGAGGTAGTAATAATTCTATATTTATAAAAATATATAAGGGATTATTATATAACTAGAGTCCTCTAAATAAAGCACCTTATAATAAGTATTTCCTATAATATATTTATTTTCTTTAGATCTTTATAGAAGGATACTATTAGACTCTTTTTAATTTATTATAACCTACCCTTAAAGTTCTTCTTTATAGTAGGGTTCTTCTCTTATATTTAAGTCTAAATACTACTTATACTTAATTCTTTCTAAGAGGTGTTTTTTATAGTAACTATATATATATAATACTTATAAGATCTAATAGTATAATAAATATATTATAATAGTTTTTAAATATTCTAAATCCTTTAGAATATTATTAGACTATTCTTAATCTATTTAAATAGTTTCTTATAGTATTTTTAGATTAATAATCTTATAGTCTTTAATTAATATAATTTCTTACTATCTATTCTTCTAGAGTATAAAATAGTTCTTTAATTTAGTATATCCTTATTAGGGTCCTATTAGGGCACCTATTAGAGCCCCTATATTATATATGTTAGGTGCGTATAAGCACCTATATAATAGTGAGCTGCTGCTAAGCTCTCTACGAGGAGGCAGCGATAATTCCATCTTTATAAAAGACAAAAGGGATTATTATGTAACTAGAGTCCTCTAAGCGAAGCACCTTATAATCCTACTTCTTTAGAATATATCCTAATAAAGGATACTATAGGAGGTTCTATTAGATTTTCTCTATTATAGAGTTCTTCCTCTTTATTTAGTAATAGTTAGGTTCTAAAGTCCTAATCTTTATTAGAGTGTATATTATATTCTACTTATTAATTAATATCTAAGAAATAGTCTTTACTATTAACTATACTAATATTATAAGTTAGTAAGTTACTATAGTTTATTATATTTAATCTATAATTCTTTTAGACTAGCTTTTATTACTTTTTAAATGCCTTATATTTATTTATAAAGTATCCTAGCTTTCTATAGTTATAGTAAGTTTTACTTTTTACTTTAAAAGTATTCTAGTATACTATATTAAGTTCTATAGGGCCTAAATAGGTTCTATAAACTATAGATCCTCTAATATATTAACTACTATTTAACTAATAGTATAATAGTAGATTATTCTATTTTTTAGTCCTTTATCCTTTATATTTAAGTTATTTAGTATAAAGTTAATTATTAACTTTAATAATTTTACTAGTAAATTTATTAAAAGTATTAAGTTAATTATCCTTTATAATTTTATTCTTTATATTTTCTTATAGAGTATTATAGAGTAGTTTTATTATACTATTATTATTCTATATAAAATAATTTAAAATATATTTAAATTCCTTTATAAAGTATTAAGTAGATTTAGTCTACTTAAGGACTTTAAGTTTATATATAGTAGTATATATTTTATTTAAGTCTTTAAAGGTAGTTTAGAGTAATTCTTTAAAGTATTTATATTCTCTAAAGATTTATATAGTCTTATCCTTAGGTTCTTTATTATTAAAGTAGTCCTTAAGAGTTAACTCCTACTACTCTATTACTTTTTTTATAAGGAGGTTTCTAATATAAAGTATTTATACTATAGGGTTAATAATAGTAGTATTTATATATAAATAGACTTTTATTTAGATTAAAAAGTTTTAAATATCTCTTTTAGTTCTATTAAATAAGTTAAGTTTAAGAAACTTAAATAGAGTAAGGGTTCTATTATTAGTGTTTCTTATAGTCTAGATTTAGGTAGTAAGTATATTAATCTACTACCTTATTTATACTATAGTATTATTTAGATTAGTTATTATACTACTAGTAGTAAATATTATAAAGGTTAGTTATTTATAATTTTAAAAGTAACTTACTAAATAGGATTAAATAAAATATAATAGTAGCTTATTCTTAATCTATAGTTAGTCTATTTCTTAAGTAGAGAGTTAGTTTAAATATATAAATATATATAAATAGTTATTATAGTATAAGTTATATTAAGAGATATCTCCTAATAGTAGAACTATTATTTAGATTAATTAGTAGAAATATAGTCTAATTATTTACTAGAAATCCCTTTCTTTATATATTTATCCTATCCTCTACTATATTCTTAGGATTACTCTAGATTACTAGTGATCCTTATAATTTAATACCTATAGGATTACTACTAGCTTACTATAATCTATAGTAATCTAGTTATATAACCTTATATTCTAATTAGACGACTTATAGGTTCTTACCTAGTTGCTTCCTTAGGCCGCCCTTAGGCCGCCTCTTAGCTACCTTACGTACATTCTTAATTTATAATAAGTATATAGGAAGGAAGGGTAGTCTATTAGGATCCTATTAGGGTACCTATTAGAGCCCCTATATTATATATATTAGGTATATATAAGCACCTATATAATAGTAAGCTACTATTAAACTCTCTATAAGGAAGTAGTAATAATTCTATATTTATAAAAATATAAAAGGGATTATTATATAACTAGAGTCCTCTAAGTAAAGCACTTTATACTAAATCTCTACTACTTAATCTAAATAATAGTTTTACTATTAAGAGTAACCTTTTAATATAACTTATATTATAATTATATTTATTTATACTCTATAATAGACTTTAAATAATTCCTAATATAGTATTATAATAACTTTAATACTAAAGTAAAGGATTTTTTATTAAAGTTTAGTTTTTTTTAATTAAATATATAAAAAAACTAAATAGACTAAATTTAATTAAAGTAGAATTATAATAATAATAAAAAATATAAATAAAAAATAAATAAACTAAATATAGAATTAATATAAAACTACTTTAAAACTAAATAAAGTAGTTTTAATATAAAGGACTTATTTAAGTTTAGTTTTTTTTAATTAAATATATAAAAAAACTAAATAGACTAAATTTAATTAAAGTAGAATAATAATAATAGTATTTATTTATTCTTTAATATTTTAGTTTTATTTATATCCTAAATCTTAATTTAGATTATACTACTTAATAGTATTCTACTTAATTATACTACCTTTTTCTATAGGGTGATAATATAAGTAGTACTAGGTAGCGCCACTTACTGTCTTCTACTTCCCGCCTCCTCTATTCTCGGCTATGGCACTACATTACCTTGCTACTTCCATCCTCAGCCCCCCTCTCCCTTCCTCGGCCCTCGCCACCCGCCTCACTTATTAGTCAAAACTCCCATCTTTGCCTTTCTTGATTGCCTCCACCGCGCCCTGCAAATGCATCTCGCCCACCATGGCCGACGACGCCTTACGTCACGCGACTACCAGTAGCAACAAGAACAACGCCGCCACTGACAGCAACACCATCAACAGCAGCACCCCATCGACCGCTACGAGCTCATACACCAGCGCGCCGCCCGGCAACGCAATCCGCCGGGCCAAAACCGTCGCCGAGAACAGCCCAAGCGCTACGCGTCGACAGACCACGACATCATCCCCCACCGCTGCGCGGCGCTTCTCATCCGACTCAGCCGGGGCGTTTGAGCCACTACGGAGGAGGAGCTCCAACTTTTCCAACTACGGTGTCAACGAGGCCCGATCCACCATGAACCCACATGGCAAGGCCGCCGCCGGAGCACACGATGGCGCAGACCAAGGCGCGCAAGAGCTGTCGTCGCTCGCGGGCCTGTCGCTTGCATTTGCGCTGCTCCCCGCCATTGCCGGCGCGCTGTTCAAGAACGGAGGCGCCGTGACGACCGACATTATGCTGCTGGGCCTGGCCGGCGTCTTTCTGCACTGGTCGGTCACGCAACCTTGGTAAGAATAATTACTCGGTTGATCGGAGCGACGGGAGGGTCTAACATGACAACTTGCAGGATCTGGTACCACTCAGCGCAGCAGGTGCGCATCCAGCACGAAGCGAACGCTGCAGATATCGACGTCTTTGAAGATAACGACGACGAATTTGCTGACAGAGCCTCGCACCTAGATGACCTTCCAGAAGACGAGGCAGCACGGGCCACAAATATCGACGATAATAGCGAGATTGTATCGGAGAAAAAGCCCAGATCCGCCGCGCAGCAATCCGCCCTCAACGAGCTCTACCTGCACGAAGTCATGGCGCTTGTTTCGTGCTTCTCACTGCCGCTCATTAGTGCATTCCTCCTTCACATGATCCGCGCCCAGCTCAGCAGGCCGTCCGAGGGCCTGGTCTCCAACTATAACCTCACTATCTTCGTCCTTGTCTCCGAGGTGCGCGTGCTCTCGCATATGATCAAGCTGGTCCAGGCCCGTACGCTGCACCTGCAGCGCATTGTGCATACTAGCAACCCCTTTGGCACCGCCGCTCTGCCCACCGACAATAGATTCCGCATTAACGCCATCATGGAACGCCTCGACGCGCTTGAGTCTGACGCGGCGGCGGCGGCGGCATTGCCGGAGGAGCCTAAGGACGACGATAGCACCGCATCGGCCAGAGCCGCGCAGGAGGCCGTCCTTGCCAAGGACGTCCGCGGCGCCATCCAGCCAGAACTTGATGCCCTCAACCGCGCCGTCCGTCGCTACGAGAAGAAGTCGACCCTGCTGCAGTCCCACATCGACGCGCACCTCGCTGCCATTGACGCACGCGTCCAAGACGCCATCGCGCTGGCTGCCGTCGCCGCCAAGAACAGTTCTCAGAGCAGCAACAGCCTCCTCGCGCGCAGTTTCGACGCCGTCATCACTACCGCGCTCTTTCCCTTCCACGCCGTGCTACAACTTATCCTCATGCCCATCCGCTGGGCGCTCCCCCTCACCCGTAGCGGTACCGCTAAGAAGACGAAGAGAGGTGCGGCAGGTTGCGGCCGCGGGAGCCCCCAGACAGCAGGCAAGCCGCCTACTCGCGGCGCGCGCAGGAGCGAGCCGACCAGCCAGCCGCGTTACAGTGGCGATAAGATGCCTTCACGCCTGGCACGGAAATGAGTATGCTGACGAGATATGAGGCCTGGTCCATGTAGCTGTGGGCGCGCGTGTGTGTGTGAGATTCGAGCCACGTTTCCCTCTTTTTCTTTGTTTCCCTTACTTTTCTCCTTGCGACCTGGCGCAACGGTCGCCGGAGTCTTGCCCTTTGGCCTTGTGCCTTAATAATAATCCTTGCAGTGTTTCACGCCGATTTTTCATTGCCCGCGTCGCCGTATAAACGACGGCATACAACTTACGTTTTACCTCCATTCGTGCTTCTACTAACATAGCCGTCAGTGTTTCTTGTTCCTTCTTTGCTTTTGATTGTTACATCGCGCTTGGAATTTTAACAAAACAGGATTAACAACCGAATCAAACGCATATTGTTTGCTATTTCCAGAAGCAATAATCCTAGACAGTAGTGGCCTCTAAACAAGTCGCTTTGATCTCTTGCCGTGGGGCCCTCTCAACAGCCTTGAAGCTTGGTACTAGCAGCGGCCCTCATATTTTTTCTCTGTCTAATAAAACACCACAAGGTTGATTTAGTGATCCGCGTAAACACTGTTAGAATCAAAGCGCCGAATAGAGTTGCAAGGTTCATGCTATGACCTTCAGCGGGACAGCCTTCCTCCGTGATAAAACTGAGTTGACGCGTCGCGTAGAAGCCAGCCCAGTCAGCCAGGCTGTGTGTGTATCAACCGCACGTTTAGCCTTGCGTGAACAATCACCCCAGCGACAGCAGAAATTCATCTTCGGCTCTGACGGGCGTTGGGAGTGGCTTGGGGTATGTATGGCTCTCATTCCCACTTCCAGGCGTTAGCCAGCTTTTCAGTTGCAGCTCATACGAGGTTCAAATACTCGGGGTAGCACCGAAAACAAATGGCATTGCCAGAGGAATAGAATACGATTGAGTGTTCTCTGACGTCCTCATGTTTTCTTTTCTTATTAGAGACACCTTCGCGGCGCTACAGTCTCAACGCGCTAGATACGAAGCTTCGTTTAAGTAGCGTACGGTTCAATTTAACGGGAAATGAGACGTCAAGCTGGAAGCGGACTGTGCGAGCAAATCACAGCGAGTGCTCATCCTTCAGACGAGCCATACCCAGCGCGGAACAGATAGGCTGCTATTTAGGAATCTGTTATGAGGGCTGAACGAGGGCGCCGCCGAGAAGTAGCCCAGCAATCAATGGGTGGTTGGGTGGGTGGATGCTGCACTTTTCTGCCCTCCTGTGAGTGGAACAATGAGAAAAATTGGCAAGAGTCCATGAATCGAGGAGAATTGGAAACAGGTCGCATCATGCACCTACGGAGCTCCATGAGCGAATCAAAAAGCTCGCTAGTCACCAACTGACCGGCCATGCCGGGCCATGGCCGGCCAGGTGGAAGAAAAGAGCCAGCTTTCCATGCAACAAGGGCCGAGATCCAAAGTGGCAAATCTACACATACGGTCGGGCTAGTTGCTGCCTGCATTCGGTTTCAGGTCCAATAAGAGGGCTCGATATGGCCATTTGACAGGGTTCGCGGCGCCCATCAACAATGGGAAGTGGTCTCAAGTTGTGGATGGAAGACTTCTGCATGTCTTGTGTGCTGTACCGCGGCTTGATATGATGGATGCATTGACAAACCAGACAGTTGGTTGACCGCTGTCTTTTGCGCAATGGCCTTCACGTATCGAGCATTGCAGTTGTAATCTGTCGTTGGAGCGGCGGCGGATACGGAACCCTGTGTCCATTATGGCCCGGGGCGCGGGGGAGGGACAATGCGTGCTAACCGGCTACCTACCCGATCATCCATGATTGAGCCAGAGGGAGATGGTAAAGTGATATTGAACAAAGTGAGCCAGCAGTATACCACGCCTTTATTAGTGTGTTTAATGCTGGCTAACAAAGAGAGGCGGACTGTTCCAACCCAAGGCAAAAAACCCGATCGATGGAGTTGTAGTGCTTAAAATTGTTGGTACAAGACTTCGATCCGGAGTGGAGAAAAGGAGGGGGCTATGCAGCAAGGCCAGGATGGGGCGACGATGATTTGGGAGGGGCTGAAGCTGAAGATGAGCCATGTTTTCGGTGAGACGTGATTGCATGTGTCAGGCAGTAGGTGCTTGGGAGGCCGTGAGAGGTGAGCGAGAGAGCGAGCGAGATAGTGAGTGAACAAAGCAGCGAGTGGGACGGGCTGATGACGGAAAGCGTTGAAGAAGGTGAGGTGGTTGACGATGGCATTGGTCGAGGGGGGCATGTGGCGGCGTTGTGGCAGTCGATCTTGTGGCGCATCGCAATTTCCTACTGGATGGCGTCGCATAAGTAGGGAGTTGGCAGGTTTTGCAGTTTGACAGGTTTGCAGTGACAGGTTTTGCAGTGTGGCGGTCGCGTTGGCATGCTGCACGGCTGTTATTAGTGGTTACTGGTAACTCCTACCTAGGAAAGAGATACCAAAGAGAAAAAACTTGCAGATGGGCTCAAGGCTGTTGCTGGAAGTATCGGCATGTCGTGACAGGTCGTAGTAACACTGGGCCAATATGCCCGCGCGTGACGCACATATGCCCGGTTAGTGCCGTCGGGCGAACAAGTGGCTTGTCCGAGCACCGGACGCGAAGCACTGACGCGATACATCATATATTGTCAAGGACTACGGATACTTATGGCTGACCCAATGACCCGAGATGTGATACGAGGTGTATCGCTGTGTGTAGGATCTGGTTGGTCCGCGCGGTGTTCGTCGCGTCGGACTTGTGCGCCGGATACAACAGAGAAGAAGGAACGATGCCGCACAACATTCCGCATTCTAGTCGTGACAAACGGTGCGGGACGTGCAGGAAATGGTTCGCATTCCTTAAGATTCTTTGCTGTTGTTTATTTTTATCTCCGCGAATTGGAGAACCTGTGATAAGGACGATGTATTTGTTGATGACTGTGGAACCCCACCCATGGGCTTGGGCCCATACAAGCAAGGTACGTGATGGTACCTGAATTTAGAGGGCGTCTCGCGATGCGGCTGCCCCTCCCGCCCACAGGGACCTCGATATCAGCAGCGAGTAACTCGGCCGTGAGCCGCATTCGTGCTGTGGCTAGTCGCCTCTAAATAGTGCTATGTACATAAGCTACTGAACTTCGCTGGGCGGGTTGTCCTACGCGGGTTGTTTGTTAGGCTGAAATGATGGCCATTGAAGTGAAAAAGTAATCACGTTAGTACAAGATTTACCTATATTACACTGGAGATGCTAGATTATCATACGCCATGCTTCCCTATTTCAGGTGCGTCGAGTGTCAGTATTCTGCCATCTCTGTCTGGCTGCCCAGAGTGTCCTCTTCAGCGACCAAACTCCGCAGTGGACCCCCCGGGAATTCTCATCCCTGCCATGTCGCACCTCCATCCCGACTACCAAACACCTACAGACACATGGCTCGGATACAAGGCCATCACAATGAACACTGAATCATCCTCACCCACCTTGGTTTGACGTGCACCATCGTGACTATCTATCCAACTTCTGTAGTCCACCCGTCGGCTCATCCCGCCTCTGCGCCTCTGCGCCTCTGCTACTCCCCTGCCCTTCCTCGTCCAGCCTCCACAGCCTGGCGTTCACACAAGCACGTCTCAACGTCCCACGCATGTATCTATCTCATGTCAGCCGCGATGCGTCGATTCTCTCGGTGGCGCCATGGGAAATTGCCTTCTCCGCCTCACCACTGACCACTGACCATGAAAAACACGCCGTCGTCGACTTGTCTGTCAGAGCCATGCGCTACGCCGCTACCGCCCTGGGACCATGGTGCATCGCCATCGTCTCTCCACCGTCGGCTCCATGCCCTGGCCCCCAGCTCGCCTCTCCGCCGCGCCGGTTGGCCAAATAAGCTAACGAGTGACCTGTAGCTATTCTATTTGACTAATTATCCAGGTACGGATAGGATCCGTCGGTACTCCATACATTATTAGTACGGTAAAGGTACGAATACCCACCTACCTTTTTGGAACCTCCAGCCACCCATCGTCCATCTGCGTCTGCAGCCATAAGCAACCTATAGTAAACGAGGCATGCCTCTACCCCCCTCTACCATCTACTTGGCCCTCTTATTATTCCCTGCATTTTTCTGTGCCTCTCTTGCTCTCTTGTCTGGTCCGTGCTCCGTACTCCCCCTTGTGCACAGTGGCCGGGGCTTCTCGCTCGTCAATGCAGTCGCTCTGTGTACTGTACTTGATATTAGACCTCCCCTTCCCCTATGCAGCTTTGCCCTCTTCCTAGTCCCCTCTTTGCTCAATTCATCCTCTTCCCCTCGCCTCCCCATTACTTGACTATTCCCCTCTCCTGATCAATCAATATAATTTGCGATCGGTGTGGCAGCGCAGCCGGTTTTTCCCCTGCGTGTCTCTCCCATCCCCACCGGCCACCTGCCACTGCAAGACCGGACCAACCTGTCTCACATTGGTGTGTCCAGCGTAATTTACGCGCAAGTCTTTGCTTATTCCTCAGTCCTCTATAGAGATTCTTTTAATGCTCCGAAGCAGCTCTCCCGACCTTCTATTCAGCTTCTCTCCCCAGATATGGTTTGCCGGTCTGAATAGGTAGTCGTTGAAGCTCGAAACATTATTCTACAGGCTTTCTTCGAAAGACGGCCTATGCGGCTGCTGCCTTAACTCACCATGTTTCTCAACCCACTTCGAATGTGCGCTTTGCTTTGCCTTGTCCTGGCATTCCAGCTTGCCACTGCCCATAGTTTCCAGGTTATCGACAGGGCTGATACCGCGACACAAGCAACAAGCAGCGCGTCCCCAACAACAACCAAATTCCCCGCACAAACTGGCAAAAACGACGATGAAAATACAGACAACAGCTCCAAGACTGCATCTAGCACTGCTAGTGCTCCCGTTACCTCGACTGCAGCGACCAGCCACAGTAGCACGGAGAGTGTTCCGACGTCCACTTCGTTGAACAACAACCCCTTCCTCAACGGTAAGCTGAAGCCATGATGCCTTTCAACCAGTTACCATTGTACCTGAACTAACCCGACCCCCTTAGCCACAATTCCGCCTGGTCAATTGCCTATCCTGCCAGAAATTACACCGGGATGGGGCGTCGCCGGCATCATCATGATGCTGACGGGTATCGTATATGCCCTCATCGGAATCAAGAACCCATGGGTCCACGCATTCTTCTCGACTGCCTATATGGCAGCATTGGGTATTACGGTCCTTGTTATCTACGTCATGAATGTCCCTCTCAGCAACGCCCTTCAAGGGGGGTACGTCGCCGCCATTATTCTCTCGGGCTGCGCAGTTGGTACGGCTTCCATGTTCTTCAAAGAATTGACCGAAGGGCTGGGCTGTGCTCTGGGAGGGTTTTGTATCAGCATGTGGCTTCTCTGTTTGGTTCCAGGTGGTCTCCTAGATTCGACGGCCGCCAAAGCCGTCTTCATCGCCTGTTTCACCCTTGTGGCTTTTGCCTTTTACTTTAGTCGCTTCACTCGCGACTGGTCGTTGATTGTTTTTCTTGCCTTTGCTGGCGCCACAATCACAGTTCTTGGTATCGACTGCTTCAGCAGGGCCGGTCTCAAAGAATTTTGGGCCTGGATCTGGGCCCTCAATGACAACCTTTTCCCCCTCGGTGCCAACACTTACCCAGTCACCAGAGGCATTCGAGTCGAGACTGCCGCCATCATCATCATTTTCCTCATTGCCACTATGTCACAAGTCAGACTGTGGAAAATTGTCCGTGAAAAGCGCGAGAAGCGGGACGCGCTTCGTGCCGAGGGTCAGCGAAATTTGCAAGAGGAGGAGGAGAACGTCGGTCGACAGATTGAAGAAGCCAACGCCCGCGATCGTGCCCAATGGGAGCGAGTTTACGGCGATGGGGCCGCCGAGAGTGTCACGGCCTCTCAAATATCTGATAGCGGACACGTTTTTGAAAAGAATCGGTCTCACAGCCAAATTTATGGTGCCAAGAGACGATCTGGCGACGCTCCCGAATTGTATGACGTGTCGGAATGGGGCCAGCCTGGTATAGACCAGTTGATGACCGGCGAAGGCGAAGAGGGTGGAGTGACCGTGCGCGTTGGAGCCGATGAGCTCTCCGCAGGTGAAGGAGAAGTTGAAGATGATGAGAAGATAGCAGAGAGCTCAAGTGGACGACAGAATTTCGACACAACTGGTGGCCGCGCTTCAAAGCTTCCAGCCAGGAGCAAGCGTGTCTCTGGTACCGCTGCCAGTGAAATGGTTCCCGTTCGGTCCTCAATCGTTACACCTTCACCTGAGGTCGTTCCTTTGCCATTTATTGTGCCTCGAGGCGACCTTCTGCGCTCTCAGCGATCTTCCGTCGCTACTTTCGCTGATGCCCAGGACGACACCGCTTTGGTCGCTCCTCGCCGCGTTGAAAGACACTCTGTTGTCAAGCGCCTATCCAGAGGATCAGTAGAGCTCCTGCGAACTCTTTCCCGCCGCTCCAGTCGCTCAGCCCAAACGCCCGACCTCGCTCTCAGCGGTGGCGCGAGCACCGAAATACTTCTAACACAGATCGAATCCTATCGCCAAGACGAGGACAACGAGTCGCTAGCCGCTACAATGGACGTGGAGAGTATGAGTGGTGGCGACCGTCGCTCTATGGACCTGGTCAATGACGAGGTGAACGATAATGCCGACCCAGCAGCCGAGGTCACAGCAGTTGACAAAATGGGGGAAAACGTCAAACCGAAGAAATCTGAGCCCGCACCGACGGACGGAGCTGTAGTTGACCAATCCGATCGAAATAAACAATCGACTCGGCAAACCGCGACAACTCAGCCTGTTCAATGCACCTTCAAATCACAGGGGGTTGCGGGCCCGACCGAATCAGAGAGTCCCGACCTACCGGTTGACGCGCCGCAGTCTGAAGTGCCCAAGTCGATTGCACCAGAGACATCTGGACCGGCCAGCCTCACCAAAGAACGCCTGCCACGGTCGCTTTCCAGGGTTGCCTTGTCTTACCGAACAAATGAATGGGCGAAGCATCTGAGTAATGCCGAGCTACCTGATATGGATGAACTGCCTGTTGGCAAGGCCATCCGTGCGAGGAAAGCGGCTAAGGAGTGGGCTCAGCCAGTGAATATGGAAGAACTCCAGAGGACCGCGGAAGACGGGGCCCCGGCGCCTGCGCTTCCCAGGTCACTATCTAGAATATCTACTATATCCACAGCTAGCGCAAAGCCATACGGTACGGCGTCAATGGATGCCGAAGCCTTGCGAGCAACTAGCTCAGCGGCTGCATTGGTGACCTCCGATGCATCACGGCCTGTTTCTCCAAAAGATTCTGCCGCACCGCCCAGAGTACAGCCCGTCTCTACAAATACACGCAAGATTTCCCCGACAGTTCAGCCTATAATTGAAGAAGGAAGAGGTCTCCCCGTTACCCCCGGACAATTGCCCCTTGTCGTCGACGAGCAAGCAGGCACAACAAGAGGCCCGAGTCTTGACATGGAAGTCGATCACTTTATCAAGCCGTCCGCCGCGATACCTGGCATTGTCTCCTACGGAAGTCCACAGACACTGCTTGGCCAGCGTGATATATTTCTCCGCACCAGATCGCAGGGCAGCCTAGTGCCCAATGTTGGCGAGATGCAATCCACATTGACACCGCCTATGACAGCGCTTAGCGATGCGTGTTCCTTGAACAACGATCCCATGTATGCCGCTGCTTTTGCCTCTGATGCTGACGAAATTCCATTGAGCCAGCGCCGCTCTATGATACTTGGTAGCCGCATGTCGACCAATGAATCGTCGTACTCCCTGAATCGCTCGGGGAGCCGCGCTGGAAGCAACCACGGTGGTGCCGATAACCTCGCCTTCAACTCTCACCAACCGAAGAGAAACTCAAGCGTCCCGACACAAGCTGCCCGAGATACACAGCTTGCCAACTTTCGCATGTCCGTTTCGCAGGACCTGCGGGCCGGAAACCCGATGATGAATAGCGGTGGACGCGAGACTCCCTTTGCGTCTACCAACTCCCTCCTCGTTGGCCGTGAAGCCGAGGTGCAACGTAACATCGAGATGCAACGCCATGTATTGATGGGCCAAAAGGAGGCTGAGGCACAAAGAAGAGAGATGCAACGGCGTGACAAGGAATTCTCTGATCGCGCGTTTGACGACCGGATGCGCAGCGGCGACCTGCTTGATGCGCATCGCGAGGCCATGCGCAAGATGCAGCGAAGTGTTAGCAAACGCACTTGAGGGACTTGTTCTTGCCTTCACTTGTGCTAATTTACTTTTTTTCCAAAGCGAAACTTTTGTCAATCTCTTGCAGGGGACACATTTTTCATTCCTCGCTGTCGTCTCCACGCATTTTTTTTCACAGCGTTCTTCAAATTTACAAGAGTCGAATATATCCCCAAGCACCAAGGCAATATGAAAGCCTGTTGTTGTTGATTTACCCAGCGTACGCGATAATCGGATAAACTAGCTGCATTGCTAGGTATTCGAATACAGCACCTATCTCTCCGGCGTTTTTGGATCCATTTGCTCTTTGGGTTTTACTTGTTTCACCCTCGCCTGGTACAGGTAGGTTTAGTATAACAGATCGGGCGCGTATACATGGAACAGTTGAGTTGTTTGTAGTCGAATCTCTTTCAAATCAATGCTGATAGTATCCCGTTTTGAACTCCTCATTGACACTATAGCGGAGACAAATAGTAAAAGCGACTAGCTATACATTCCGAAAGTGATTGCAGAGGAGAGAATATATAAATATGTGAAAAGCTACCAGTGCACAAGATAATCGTCGGCGCCATTAGCAAACTTGACGGTTCTGCCACTGGATTCCAAAGCCGAGAAAGCGGCGGGAAGATCGAGGACCTCGGAAGGATGTGGCTGGTCCTTTAGCGCTGCTCGTAGCGGAAAGTTCCTGGGGCGGGAAGGGGGATACATCTGGCGTGGCGGCTGGTTTGCATGCTGATGAATATCATCATTATCGTCGTTTCGGCTCTGAAGTGAAAACAAACTCAGACGCATGGGTGTCGAGGGGAGGCAGCCTCGGGGGATGTGATGAGGGTGGGGAAGGAGCGAGCTGTATTCCGTCCGTCTTGTTTCGGAAGGGGAATGGGTTTCGGGGTAGACGGCTCATCCATCTCGACGCCGGCGGCGGCACAATGGGATAGTCGCTGTAGGGGCTGCCGCGGAGGGAGGCCGCGAGGCGCGGTGTGAGTAGATGGGAGAGGCTCGTGACACCCGTGATGCTGTCGCCGGACGAGATGCTGGCATGGGCTGTGAGCTTGTAGTGGGAAGAGGTCTGCGACATCTTCGTTTTTCTGAAGAGACTGTTAGTATGAGCTACTTTTTAGGAATAAAGTAGCAAGTCTTACGCAGAGACACGAGTTATGTATCCGGCCGACGCGGCCGCCTGCATCGCCTTTCTGTCCGGATCGTACTCGTTGTGTAGATCCGGCCAAATCTTGCCAAATCCCACATGGAGTAAGACGGCGCGATACGAGTTCATTGCGTCCTTAGTCATGCCGAAGAAGAGGAAGATGGGGATGGCAGTTAGGATGGAGATGTATCCGTTGTTGAGGCTGCCAAAGTTGTTGAGGTGACTGGGGATGTAGACGATGGAGCCCCATGGCGGCGATGACGTTGGCGAGTAGTGGATGGCGTGGAAATCGAAGGGCTCTAGGGCTCCCATGGTTTGAACGTTGATAACGCACAGAGTGACGGATATGGGTAGGAAAGGAACGAGAATGGATACAACCACGAGGTATAAACGATGTTTGCTCCTTTGGCTTCGTAGGAACGCAGCGCGGTTGCTGCCGAGGGCCGAAATAGTGGTTTTGGTAACTTGACGGAAGCGAAAGAAAGTTATAACTAAGACACGCATAAGTTTCGTATGACTGTGAAACCAACACCAGCTTCGGCCTTGGGACGGACCTACCTGCGTAGATGGCAGCGACGACGGAAATCACTAGCTGAGCGATTACAAAGAAGACCAGAAACGGCCAAGTAGAAGACGGCACCCAACTGCATCCCATCAACGTACCGACGGCATAGCGTCGAGCAGTAAGCGGCCATGTGAATGCCAACTGCACCAGTGGCAGCGGGAAGATGATAAGCGCCTGTATCAGGTTGCGGCGCCTCCTCTCGCGGACCGTCATTGGGTTCGCGCGCATGACGCCAACCTGGTGCGCGAGGTTGCGCATTATGGCGAGCAGACAAGTGACGAAGACACCAGCGCAACCGTTGTATACGAAGGGCTCGGCGTCGCAGAGGCCGTAGCCAGGCCACCACGCCTCAACGTCGTCGGTTTGCCAAAGCAGCGCCATGAGGATAGTGAAGACGTTCTTGACTTCTATGACGACGATGAGGACGGTAGCAGCGAACTCGCCGTTGCGGTAGAGGAGGCGAAGCGGCACGAGGCAGACAAGGTTGGCGACGACGGCAAGGGCGACGCGCGTGACGAGGTTGGCCGTGAGGGAGGTGCTGCTGAAGGGCGGCTCGTTGGGGCCGATGGTGAAAATTTGAGGGGCGTTCTGCCTCGCGATGACAGCGTGAAGCTCCATTAGGTCGGTGCTGATGGCCTAATGGGGTTTCACGGCGAGATGTTGGCAAGTGAAGCTGGTTTCAAAGAGTATAGTAGACAATGAGTTACAGACCGTCACAGGAGCTTTGATACAAGCACGGGCAGAGGAGAGAGAGAGGAAAGGGGTGACGGTGTTGTTTGCTGATATCGGGAGCACCTGTACCGGAGTGGAGAGAAGTATCGACCGCATGTCATGGCAGTCTTATACATTACAATGTGACAAGCACATACATTAGGTAGATACAAGGGCAAAAGGGGGGGGACCGACCGTCTGGGGACAAAAGTAGAGGTGAAAAAGGGTCTAAACAATAAACGAAGAGGAGTGAGGAAGTGCGGTGTGCACCGAGGAGATCCAAACCCTTGGGGGCCGCTTGATGGAAACCAGATCAGGAACCGTATAATTGTAGGGTGATCTGAACGAAAGAGCGAACTCCACGGATCCAAAGGTACCAACAGTATTGATACTCATACACCCAGGCCTCCAAATGGGGCAGATCTCTAGCCGGTGGCGTCCCATATGCCGACGACAGAGTTGATGGGAAGACGGGGAGGCAGCTGCCGCCGCGCCTTGCCCGCCGTTGGTGAAGGCGAGAGCCGGGGCTGAGCAAGGGACAACATCATGCTGGCATACGCAGCAAGCCTAACGCTGCATTTGTCCCGGTTCTTGGGGCTGTAGACTGCGGTAGGAAGCAAAAGCCTGTTTGCGACGGCAAGCATGTTGGTGAACCGTGTGGTCGAGTGCTCTCTCAATGTGTATAAGCGCTGTTCTATTGATACCCAAAAAGGGTAATTCTCCGAATGCGAAGTGGGAGTGGGGGCGAGGCATAGCCCGGTTTTTCTTTTCTGTTACGACGGTACTCGTCTTTGCCAAAATATGTGAATAGATAAAGAATGGCGAAGACGATGTGAGAGACTAGTACTAGTCGATTTTTTGAGCTTTTTGTAAAAGCTTCTTTGTTTTTTTAGTTGAGATCTTAGTCTGCGGAAGGCACCGAGCCGGGCCGTGGTGATGTAGGACAAGATAGAGAGGGGTTGCTGAGCGATGGGACCCCCCTTCTCTAGCAGCGGCTGTGAGCTACCGCTGAAAGCATGGTCCGGTGGCCCAAAAATGCATTTGCCAGTGGGGATACTGAATTTATCATTGAAGAAGTCTTGGCAGGATTATTCTGTTAATTTCTTCGGCCTCTGCTCATGCGACCTACCGAGTCCGACGCGGGCTTGGCTTGATGTGACAACTTTTGCTCTTCAAGCCCCAGGCACTGCTACTCGACCACGAGAGCCACATGAGTGTAGTTGGTTGGTAACGACTCCATGTACCTTTGACAATTTGACGCATGTGCTTGGTTAGAAGCATGCATCGTTCCCGAATGGCTGGCGCAGAGGCTGTCTACAGAGGTGGTTGCGCGTGACGGACCTCACCCTCACCGGAATGAACGGACTTTATCAAGCGCTCAGCTACGCCGCGGCATGCCACAGCGCTGTGAGGCTGTCAAGGCAAGTCATGGACAGCCATTTATGGAGTAGACGAATACCAGCTTCTGCCCGGTGATTTAGTCGGTCTCTTCTTTCACCCGCCGCCAGAGCTGATTTTATACCAGCACCATCTCCAGACTAACCCTCTTGAACAAAAAAAAAAGCTTTTCTGTTGTAAAACTACTGAAGATGACTTTTTGGCTTACGTTGGCCTTTGCAGCATGTATATATCAGCCATTGCAGTACCATGTACAGGATGTCCGGCAACTTCGCAACTTCCATGGATGGGACGCACGGCAGTGACACGTAGGCTGCTCCCAGAAGTCTAGTAAATCCGAAGTTGATCTGAGTGCACTTTTGTCTACACCGACCTCAACTCTTACAACAGAGCCCTGACAACCGCGCTGGAGAGGTGTTCAGAGTAATGCGGCTAGCACGAAGACAGTGAAAGGAAGTTTAGAATGGTAGCTGAATAGCCAGAGAGTAGCGAATAGATGCCAATAAAGTCTCACCTCAGTTCTTCCTCGCAGCGATGCTGCCGTTTATAACTACATTTTCGCGAGGTAGACCGCCATAACTAAAGCGAGTTTCTACGAAGGAGAGTGGAAGATAATTTTCTCGGGAGAAGAAGCTAGGAGGAATATAACCACATCATTTTCACTATTTCGGTGATGTGAAGCTTTGAATACGGAACCAGTTGTACTACTCTACCACCAGCAAGGATTGGCTTCGCGTGTGATGTCGCAGCTGCATAAACTACAGCTATACACAAACTAAATGCGGATAACTGTCCGTAACATATACACCGCTCGGCGGCCACACGCTGTATTGACTACAGAATGGCTTTACAATGTGGCGAGTTACTCCCGCTCAGCTATGGGCAAATATTTGGCGTACGGGGAAATTCGTTTCCGAACCATCATCAGTCCGTTGTCCTTGAAGCAGCTAAGTGAATATTGGAGGCACCGCTAGGAGATTACGTCTTTTAAGACTATTAATTATTTGAATTAATTAGAATAAATATTATAATATTTATTTAATTAATATATAGTTTATTATTATTATTAATTTTTAATAAATTTAAAATAAAAGTATTTTATACTTTTATTAATTAATAAAGATTTATTAGTATTATTTAAAACTTTTAATAATAGCTATAATTAAGAAGAAATATTTATAAAATTAATATAAAAAGTATATAAATTATAAATTAAGGTTTATTTATAGTCTTATAAAAAGAAAACTAATATAACTAATTATAGGTAGTTAATAGGATTATTAAAAATAATTAAATTAATAATTAAATAAGTTTCTTATAAGGATATTAAGTATAGATAGTATATTTAGTAATGCTTATATTTAAAACGCTAAGAAAAGCCACTATAGGTCAGCAGTCCTGGGGACAGTCAGTCTCATGATCAGGCCCTTAGGTACATGTGCCACCAGCAAAGTGTAACGGTGGCTCTTCTCTAATCCACAGTAAATCTGTTTCTTA